CTACTTCTTATGGGAATATGTTAAAAACAATGTGTACGGAACGAAACCTGCTAACTTGGCAGACCTTAGGGAACGCATACTGCACCAAGTAAATCTTATTTCACCAGAAATGAGACGAAACGTTTTAAATGAATTTCATCTACGATAAGGTTATTGTCAAGCAGTAGACGGAAGACAATTTGAACACTTAATTCAATAAAAACCCGTCTACATACACACGCGCGCGCACACACACACATACACTCACACATAGCAGAGAGGGTTTGGAGTCATTAAATACTGCGGTAATGACGAACCGCGGAGGGACGAACCTTATTTTTGCTGACACATACACACACACACACACACACACACAGGGAGGGGGGTGTAAAGTTCGACCATGCAACCTCCACGCGGTATATCCTGGATAATACTAATATTGGCGGCACCGTAAATTCTAAACCTCATAACTCAGACAATTCTCAATAAAAATAGGTCATCAAGTAGTGTTTTGGAAACGTCTCGCTGTCATCTTTAACACTGTGTGATAAAAAATGGGATATTCTATTTAAAAAAATTATGTTGGCATTGACCTCGCCTTGGTCGCCTCCTCCACTCAAGGTCAACCGGATATAATCATTCAATAGAACTTTTAAAACCCTACAACTTTAGTTGGAAATATTTTTCTTAAAAATGTTTCGTTTTCGAGGTATTTGACCGTTTCTAGACTTTTCTAACTAAAGTGACATGGTCCATTATCGATGATTTTATTAAAAAATTTTACGAACGAAAGTTGCATGGCTTGAAGGACGACACATGACGGAAATGTGGACTTGACCTTGAGTGAAGTGACCTTGTCAAAATCAGGCCAAGGTCATTAATGTTTTTTTAAATAGAAACTACGGTTTTTTATTACATATTCTTGTAGCTTATCTCGAGAGCATTGCAAAATACTCTAACAAAGTTACATTTCATCGAGTACTTTCCGAGTTATGAGGCTTGGAACTTAAGGCAAGACCGATCACTGATCCGACCAATTAAGGCAAGATCAATTCGAATATGTCTTTAGCTGTTAATAAGTCTTGGCTTTAGAAGTACGAAATAAAACCTCCTTGCTTTTATTACAATATCCTGTAAGTTAACAAATATTCTTCACACATACAAACATAGTATTATTATATTTTTATTGAGTAGTGCACTGAACAACTATGACATTGTTCTGAGAGTTTTCTCATTTAGAGCGACGAAACAAATAGATTTTATGAATTTTTTGTCGCGCAGATAGAAAATTTCACGGATGTAATTGTTTTTGGAGATTATTTAATACTGTATGAAAAATATTTATTAACTTACAGGATATTGTAATAAAAGTAAAGAGGTTTCATTTCGTACTTCTTGATTCTGTTACAATATTCTTTTATATTTCATACTACATACTTGTATAACTTAAAATTATTTTTAAAATATTATTAAATAATTCAATAATCAAACTTGTGAATCTGCCCGACTCCGCAAAATAATTAATAAAATATATTTCATTTTCTTGGCGCCGAATATTATTAATACTATTACAAATAATATTACGAATGATATAAATTTTTACAAATAAAACTTGTAAAAATTTGTATTATTTGTAACATTATTATACAATTACAAATAAAATTACAGATAATAATATTATTAATAATGAAATATTATTTGTAATAATTTCGGTGCACCGAGTAGACAAAACTTTTCAGTATTGTCATAGAGAGGAAAGGAGAAAGAGAGACAGTCGCGTCCGCGATTCAGATTATGGGTAAGAAAGAACTAGGCTCGCTCGCTGAGCGAGAACGAGAGCGACAAGGAGGGAATGATATTCTCTCTCTCTCTCTCTCTCTCTCTCTCTCTCTCTCTCTCTCTCTCTCTCTCTCTCTCTCTCTCTCTCTCTCTCGGCGCGTCGACGATTGCCGATCGTATGGTTCACACGGATAGACCGAGCTGACTGTGTGCGTGCATGGGGTGGGGGATGGGGAGGATCCTCGTGCAAACCCGTCACCAAATTCGCATCACTGATACCAATGATGTCAAAACCGAACAAGCTGCGGACAAGCATATCTTGTAAATACCGGAGATCGATTGTTTATCAGCTCATAGACAATTAATATGACGAGATACCCGCGGAGACCCGTGTACTTCTCTTTCGTCTTTGGGTACAATTGCGATCAATAAAAAATTTTCACGAATTGTTCGGTTTTGACATCGTATATGGTATACGTGTGTATGTATGTGTGTATGTGTACAATTGCGTACACGTACAATTGCGATATACACTTATCATGTTAGCATTCATCATTTTTATTCATGCTAAAAAAAATAAGTATGATTATGTAAAGAATTTGTCTGCGTATTATTATACATTCTACATAGTTCTCCCTGTGCTAGTAAAAATAACACACTTGAACAACCTCTACGCTCATATCACAAAGTCTGATCCACTGCGCTACTGAAGCAAATTGGTAATTCTTCTGCTATAACGACATTAACTAAACTGCATTTCTCAAAAACATTTAAGATTTTCACCGTTTTTGGATAGCATTTATTACTATTACATCAATATTATACTTTTCTAAAAGCAAAATCGCGCGGTGATTTCAAGGATGAAGATTCCTCTTGTGTGAGATATTAATTATTCATTCTTTATTAATGGGAAAAAATTTTCCTTTGGTTTAAATGTTCAAGAAAAGTTATTTGTTCCCTGAGAATTTTTCAATTTTTATGTTTGTGAAAAGTTTATAAAATTCGTAAAGAATGAAAATTATTTTACTACCTACCTGTTCAAGAGTTGCGCATAAGAGATATATTAACAAATTTGAATCTGAATCAGTCAACAAATTAAATTTTTCATGCAAAGAAGCTCATGTAGGGTAAGCATAAGTAAGATAAGTATAAATAATAAATTAAATATTATTCTCTGAATATAATAATAAATATTTTTTTCTTTAGCTGAATCATCGAAGTAAATATTCTATTATAAATTAACTTTTCGGATTACAATATTAATTTGATTTTTCAGAGTACGCTTTCAAATTGACTTCGGAATACGCTATTAAATTGACTTTTCGGAGTACACTTTTGAATTGACTCTTCTGACTACACATTTGTTAGTTGACTCTATGGAGTACATATTTTTTAATTAACTCTTCGGAGAGAAGAGAAGAGAAACATTTTATATTTTATTTAAAAAATCTTAATTTTTGCAGAAAACTGATTGATGAAGGAAAAAATTAATTCACGACCTCAACGAAGATCTTAAAAAAATTACTGCAAGAAATGAAGTTGTTGTTATTATATACCATATTGTATACCATATTAAAACATACGCGCAATAATTATCTATAATTTGCATATATGGGCGTTTATGTAATTATAAGTAATATAAAAGTCATGACAAATTAATGTGGCCGCGTGTTATCTCTGTCGCGTCATTGCTAGAAATCGTCCGAACTCTCGAAATTATTTTCTTCCCGAATTATGAATATAAAACAATGTGGAAAGGAAAACAAGGGGGTGAAAGGGGAGACGGTGACGTCTGCCTTATGGTAACATCGCTGCTGGCTCGCTTCGTTGCGATTGTCTATTCGTTGGTGGTGAGACAAAGACCGATTCTTCGTTTTTATCTAACTAATCTAGCTCGCTCGTGAACATAACACAGAACAGAACCAAATAATTATGGACATAGCACGGAATAGTACCAACAAATCGTGGACATTGGCTTAGTAGTTCATGTCCATGAAAAATGGACCCAGTTGGCGCTGCGAATCAGCCAACTTTTCCATAACGCTGTAAATGCAGCCATGCCCGCTCTTAGGCTTCTCTCTGCTATAACTTTCAACGTGCAACGAGGACGGGGAGGGTGCGGGAGGGAGGCCGAAGGCCCCCTTGAACCCCTGTGTGTATGTTGCATGTGCGTGCGTGTGTGCGTGTGTGTGTGTGTGTGTGTGTATACATATTTGGTACTGTATGTATACATATGTTTAAGACATTTTCATATATTAAACATATGAATTTTTAGCTCATATGTCAGTGTTATTTTTGTTGTGTAATAACTGATACATGAGCTAAAAATTCATATGTTTAATATATGAAAATGCTTTGGGGAGAGGGCTTCGTCCCTCCCTAATATGTACTATTTTACATTTTTCGACTAAAAAGAACAGACCATAAGTCTCTGTATTACCGACATGACAGATTTCCTAACCTCGCATGTGTCACTTTTTAACTATTTATTTCTCGCAAACTAGAACCGAGCGACCATTTTTACTTGCAGATTCGGCTTCTACACGTCAAAATACACAAGATAGGTGAGTTTGAGCGAAATCCAAGATGAGGCCCGTCTTCTAAATAATTATCGTAACGTGTTCCATAATTATATCACTTTATTTTTCAGGTACATTTATGTGTGTATTATTATTCAAAATAAAATTGCAAAAACTGTTAAACAATTACGCAAAATATCTCCTTTATGTTAGCATTAATATATCATCGCGAGAACAATCCTAAATGTTTGTTCTTTTCGCGATAATGTTATTACGATATTATTGCAGATAAACAAATAAGCTTTTATATCATGTCTTACCTTTTTATCGTTGATTGACTTTACTTCCGTTGGAGGTAAACTGAATATAGGCGGGTAACAAGACACTCACACACATACGACTCTTGACGTTGATATCTATTTTCAAAATTCTAGGAATACACATACTGTACCATACATTCTTGTGTCTTGTATAATTATCGAAGCGTCAAATGCGCTCAAAACGACATTCAAGTAATCCGATAGTTGTTCAAACATTATTCTACTTCAGAATATAGCATGTCTCAAGACTCTGGTCATTTATCAGAGTTATGATGGGTACATTCCGATATTCACTGCCAGTACTGATAGTGCTGTGAGTACATTCCAAAATACACTGCAGTAAACTTTCGATGAGCCCGTGAAAACGTGTGACATCATAGATTTTGTCGTCACTTCCTGTTTTCGTTATTGCGACTGGCGAGGGCTGCGTTTCGATATTTACTGTAAGTACTGAGGGTGCTTTCCGATATTCACTGCCAGTACTGACAGTGCTGTGAGTACGTTCCAAAATACACTGCAGTAAACTTTCGATGAGCCCGTGAGAACGTGTGACGTCATAGATTTTGTCGTCACTTCCTGTTTTCGTTACTGCGGCTGGCGAGGTAAGGCATTCGCAGTAGAAAGATGGCTGCGCTCGAAAAGATGGAGGAAATTTGTTTGGTAGATGCTGTTACCAACGAAAATTTTACATTAATTGTAAACAGGAAGGATGCAACTAGAGCACGAAACGGTAAGGAGAAAATATATATATAATTTGTATTATAAGAAACGGGATAATATAAAGAAATTCTAGAAAATATGAACTCATAAATTAGTAATTAGTATATTTTTTACTTATTTTGAAATATTTTACATGTCAAAACTACTCGTATTTCTTGTTTAGATTTAACCTTTGCTACGCAGTTATTACAGCATGCAAGACAGTCAAGAAATATATGTACTTCGCAGCAAGGTATAAGTGATTTTCATTATCAGGGCTTAGATTCTTGAAAATATATCGCATACGATATTTCATAGAAAACTAAAGTTCATTTCACGTATACTATAGTTTTTCACTAAATATTGTATGCGATATATTTTCAAGAATTAGGGCCTACGGTCAGAATGAATCATAACCCTGTTCTTTTTCACTGCACTTCTAAGCTAATGTAATGAGTTAGAATAAGACAGGTATGCTTTCTTTTATTCTATCCAGGTAAGCAGATTCATCATTTTGATGTCAAAATCACGATTTTTGCATGAGCTATGCTACTTGTTACCTGAATAACTTGCATAAGTTCATTAGTGCAATGAAAAATAATAAGCTTTATGTTAGCGATATAGATAAGTAAATAAACATTATTAAATTCAGCTTGACATAATGTGTTTATAATTGTAGCAAGTACCAGTAGCATTCAGCAGACATCAACAGCTAGTCTAGATACAGCAGTAGAATGTGCAGAAGGTAAACCATTGGCAGATGGACAGTTATATATTATTTAAATATTCACATATGTTTTGAGCAAATATTGAATTCCTATTTCATCACATTGCAGGCACACATGCATGGACAAAACAAGAAACTCTCTTACTTTTGGGCTTATATCGCGAACATCAAGAAAAATTTGTTGGTGAAAAGGGTACGGTAAAAAAGCATTGGGATACTATCTCCCATCTCATGCAAGAGAAAGGACATTATATAAGTGGTTTCAAGTGTTCTACAAAACTGCAAGCTTTGAAACATACATATAAATCTATTATGGATCATAACAATAAAACTGGGAATAACAGGAAGGATTGGGAATATTTACAGGTTAGAATATTCAAATTTATTTGTTTGTTAAGTTATATATGTTGGTGTATGTGTGTGCTTAGTACAATATCCATAATATCGGTTTAACATTTTGAGATTTATTTAACATACAGATAATGCAAGAATTATTTGATGAGAAACCCTGGATGCAACCTATGGCAGTAGCAGGATCACATTTAAACGAAAACGAAAATGCTATTGATTTAGATGGAGACAAAGAAAATCTAGAAAAAGGTAACGTATAACATGTCTTATGATAGATATAAAATAGTGCATGTATGCGTAAATATATATGATATATTGTTTATTGTAAATTTATAGTGTCAGTCACCAAAAAGACAAAAGTGCGGACATTACTAAATGATTATATATCATTCAGTATGGAAGAACGCGTTAAGCGACAAGAAATTCGGACAAAACAGCATGAAGAGAAATTACTCGCCTTTAAAAAAATCGAAAATATATTAGAGAGACTGACAGAGAAAGAAGATAAGTCGGAAAAGTAGAAGTCATATTAGACTAAGAATATTTTCTTAAAATGTTTTTTTTCTTTAATTTTTTATAAAATGTTCCTTGTAAGAATAGTAGAAGTCATATTAGACTAAGGATATATTCTTAAAATGTTTTTTTTTTAATTTCTTATAAAATGTATCTAATAAGAGTAAATACTTTACTATTAAGACTTTACTATTCAGAAATAGCAGTCGAATAAGCACACAACACACCGGATCGATGTCTTCTAAACGCTTTTAAATATCTAAAAGACATAGATCCGATATCTATTCGACTTGCCATTTATAGTTTGATAATTTATCAAAAATGTATTTTGTAATTATATAAGAATTAATATTATATAATTAATATTATATTAAAAAAACTAGTTGATAAAAATATACAATGTGATACTGATACTGTGATATAGAAAGTGAAAGTGCAAATTGTTTTAGTTTCTCAAGTTATATGTTATATGTTAAGATTACATGTATTTATTACATTCTATTACATTGTATAAATTATAATTGATTAAAATCGCAATATTATGTTTCAATGATTTGTGATACTTATGGAAAAAAATATAGAACAAATTTGTTTAAATATAAAACTTATTTTTATTTTATAATTCACATGTTTTGTTTTATGATAAACATAAATAAAAGGCATTTTACGATAAGAAGTACATAATTGCATTTCTTTTATCAACTCCTTCTCCTTGTGTGTCTTCAAATGGTTCTGTTTGTGCACGATTTTGTTCATTTACAATAACGAATGTCTATCGTATCGTTTTGCAACAAACATACAATATGTTATGCAAAATACAACAAGCGATTATATATTTAGGTATTAAATCAGATCTATACATTGGAAGCGTATCTAAAAGACTTTGGAAACGACCTTTTAATAGACCTATTGAACGTTCAACCATCATTCGTGTAGACGAGAGGCGCGTGTTGAAACGTATTTGACGTTCAGATAGATAACCATTGTCTTTAAATGGTACCATTATATACTTTGTGAGACGATAGGCTGCAGCACCCAATATGTGGCTGTCGTGCGGAAAATTATTATCTGTACACATTTTTTCAAAATTAGACAAACGGAAAACACGCATATCGTGTACAGAACCAACTTGGCCCGTATAGCAATGTATAAATTGCAGCTGTTCATTACAAACAACCTGTTGAGATATATACATATTAGTCTGCGAATTGTAATGCTAATAAGGAAAGAACATTTACAAAATCAAGTAAAATTAGCTCCCTGTATTGTAATAGTGGCTAACTCACACAATCTCAATCTGAATATATAATCTGATATAATAATCTAATGATGTAATACAACATTGAAGACATATATTTAGAATTATATACACGCATATATATAGTAAGAGAAATATATCAATATTAAAATATACTATAATTTATCTCTTACCTGTAACTGAATAGAGTAAAACCCTTTTCTATTTATATAGGAATCACTGTTATTTTGTGGGGCAATAATTTTTATGTGTGTTCCATCAATTGCACCAATCACACCAGGAAAATCATGATTTCTTGTAATTGTTTCTATACTGTGTTCAGCTTCTTCCACAGTTGGCCAGTGAATAAATGTTGCTACTTTTTTATATAAAGCATTCACCACTTTTTGAACACTTCGCCATGCTGTACTTATACCGACACCAAATCTGTCAGAAACATACCTATATAAACAAATAATTTTGTTCAATATTTCTATATTAAATTATATATACTTTTATGGTGTAGTGTTTAATCTTTACCGATAAGAATTCGGTGTACTTATGAACTAGATCGCTAAAAGTAATTGCTTTTCAGGGGATATCGGATGCCTTCCGTATCTGTCGCGTTTGCATAATTCAGGCTGTAATAATTCCAGTAAAAACGCAAAAGTACTTCGTTTCAAGCTATAAAATAATAATTATTATTTTACTATTTCTTAAACACAAAAATTTCTGTTGTATATTGTTTCGTATGGAAGAAGCGAGTGCGTGAACTCGGTGTATAAAAACAAACTCTCGAGATAATCTAAATTTCACGCTTCTGGAAGTTTCTCGAGAGGATGCCGTGATTTGCAAGAAGTGCTTCCAAATAATGCTAATATCGACGCTTCGATGTCACATTACGAGTTGTTGTTGTTCCATTTCTTATGAACAGCTAACAATGTAACCTAGTTGGCCGAGCCTAGCTCGTGTACATTCGTCAAAACAATAGCATCCAATGCTGATTGGAATACTGATTAAAAACTCGAGCACAAGACATTGTTTTCTTTCATGTGACATCGAAGGACGGTCGTATTCGTTACTCTTCAAGTCTGAACGTGAATTCAGATTAAACCAATCCCGCTCGAGCACGGTTGGTTTTTCGCGAACTATAAATATTAAGGCTAAGGCGATCCGAGGAGACAACGTCGTCATTCTTGACACACAAGTCCGGTACACCGCAGCGCTAAGTTAGGAGTCTCCCACTCTCTATCCGGATTCTCGCAAGAGACTCACCTTTTTTGTTGATTATTAAACAAGCTGTTTTTAAGAAAACAAATCTAGTGATTCGAACCTCCTGTACCGTATCCAAACGCATTTTATTGCAACTTTCTGTCGCGTGGGAATCAGCGACATTTTATTGCACGTGTCGAACGTTCACCACTTTGCAACCGATCAACGAAGAGCTTCTGTTTCAACGCAGCGAAGAAGCCATTATCATCATTTAATTCGAGGCAAGAAGGTAACGTCTGATACATAAATTTGGTCCTTCGAGCCGGATACGGTCAGGTGAAGTAATAGAGAGCAATCGCCATGAATGAGCACGTTGCTAAACAGAATCAGCTTCGCCGACTCATCCTTCGAGCTCTCGACAACTTTAAGAAGATCGGAAAAACTAATCTGACTCCTGCCAAAGTGCGTTCACGAATCTCAAGTCTAAAGGATTCATGGAGTCGATTCCTAGACGGTCACGCCACACTCTGCAAGGTCGTGCCCGAAGCATCTCAAGCATCACTGGACTATTTCCGCGACGAGCTTTTCGACGACACGGAGGAGGCCTTCCAAAGCGCGCTTGATTTCATGGCCGAAAGTTTGGAAGAATTGGAGCCGCCTGTAAGTCCAAACTCCTCGCTCGGTCAGTCTCCAATTCGACTATCGAAACCTGCGACAACGCTTAATCATTTGCCTCCCATAAGCCTTCCTCCGTACGATGGTTCATTCGAATCATGGGAGTCGTTTCGCGATCGCTTCACCGCATTAATAATCGAAAACCGCGAATTGAGTAACGTCACGCGAATGCACTTTCTAACGTCATGCGTTGCCGGCCGAGCGCGGGAATGTATTCGAGATTTGGCAGTGACCGCCGATAACTTCGAAACCGCGTGGAATCTATTAACCGCTCGGTTCGAGAATAAACGACGGATTCTAAACGGACATCTCACCTCAATACTTAATTTACCGGTAATATCGCGCGAATCGGCTTCGGAGTTGTCGGCGCTTTGCGATAAAGTTACCGCCACAATCGCGGCCATAACCAATATGCAGAGGAGTCCCGCTCAGCTCTGGAACGATATGCTCGTGCATATTGTCGTAAATAAACTCGACTCCCCAACGCGCAAAGCATGGAATCTCCGCAGTGGACCGAGTGACGAGCTGCCATCGTTCGACGAGCTCAAAACATTTCTCGCGTCTCGCGCTCGGGCTCTCGAGGATCTCACTGAGAGTTCGGCAGGAAAAACGCATTCTCGATTAACGCAAAAGGTCAACGTAGCGATTGCATCCACCTCGAAATCGTGTCCTTTGTGTAAAGACAACCATCCATTCAGTGCATGTTCTCTTTTTGTAAAAAACAATGCGATCAAGCGTCGTGAACTCGCGTCTCGGCATCGACGGTGCTTTAATTATTTAAGCGATAAGCATAATCGGAAGGATTGTAAAAGTCAATATTCATGTCGCGAATGTCATCGTAAGCATCACACGTTGTTACACGTCGGCGCTCCCGCCACGGTGATTACAAATGTTTCACCGCAGACCGAAAGCTCCGCTTGCGAGGCCGAAGCCGGGTTTACGGATTCACAGATCGCTCCTCCACTGATTAAAACTAATTCGCTTCTAACGGCAACCCGTGTACGTTCTCAATCGCATGTTTTGTTAGCAACGGCTATAGTAAAAGTCAGCTGTGCATCAGGTCGTTCCGTCAGCGTCCGCGCCCTCCTCGATCAAGGATCCGAAGTGACCTTTATTTCCGAGAGCGTAGCGCAGATGCTCCGAATCAAACGAATCCGGAAGTCCGTGACTGTATCTGCCGTAGGCGGACTAAACGCCGGAACAGTCCATCATGCTGCCGATATAAAAATCTCGTCTCACGGTAATTCGCCCACCATTGTTTCAACCATAGCACTCATATTACCGAATCTCACGTCCTACGCACCGAAACGCGTCTCGGACATTGCATCGTGTTCTCATTTAAACGGTTTGCAGTGGGCTGATTCGGATCCACTCAGTAACGTTCCGATTCATATTATTATTGGCGCTGACCTTTATGGCAGCATTCTATTAGAAGGTTTGCGTAAAGGCAAAGCAACCCAGCCTATTGCTCAGAATATCATTTTCGGATGGATTCTCTCTGGTCCACTCGACCACGCAACTAGTCCGTCAGCACCAACATTGAAGGACAGTCAATCGGCAAAGGACATCTCCGTCTTCCATTGTCTCACGCTCCCGTCGCTCGAAAACGCCATTCGAAAATTTTGGGCGGACGAGGAAATTCAAAGGCCGATTCCTCTCTCTATAGAAGACGAGCAATGCGATGAATATTTTCGATCCTCGCATTCTCGAACAGCGGACGGTCGCTACATAGTCCGCCTGCCTTTCAAAAACCCCTCCCCGATTCTCATCGGAGATTCTCGCGGTCGCGCGGAGAAACTTTTAAATTCACTGTTACATCGATTAAAAGAAAACGAGACCTTAGCTGCTCAATACAAAGAGTTTCTAGCTGAATACGAGCAGCTGGGACATATGCGCCGCGCGCCCGTCGGATCAACGTCCCTCTCACAGTGCGTGTATCTTCCTCATCACCCAGTTGTACGCGACAACAGTGTTACAACGCGCGTGCGAGTCGTCTTCAACGCGTCATTCGTTACTTCTAACGGCACTAGTTTAAATGATCATCTTCTCATCGGGCCAAAGCTCCAACTGGACCTACCGGCCGTTATTCTCAAATGGCGTCAATTCAAGTATGTGTATGCCGCTGACGTCACAAAAATGTATAGGCAAATTTTGATAGACCCTCGCGATGTAAATTTTCAACGGATCTTGTGGAAATCCGCAAATGAAGCGGTGCCGATCGAATAACTACTCACATACGGCATGGCCTGCGCTCCATATTTGGCGCTCCGTGTGATCCAACAGTTAGCGGACGACGACGGATATCATTTCCCTCTCGCTGCGCCTATACTACGAGAAAACATATATGTCGACGATGTCCTATTCGGAAACGACAGTATACCTACGCTAAAACAGACACGCAAAGAACTTGTACAATTGTTACTACGCGGCGGCTTTGAATTACGAAAATGGGCCGGAAATTCGCCTTCTCTGCTAACAAACATTGAGTCCGAAAACTGCGCTCCTGCCTGCTCCAAATCCTTATCCTCCGACGAAACACTCAAGATCCTCGGAGTGACGTGGAATCCCGTTCAGGACGTGTTTCAATTAGCAGTCACTTTGGACGATGTCATACCAAAAAGCAAACGTTCTGTTCTAGCCGCAATAGCCCGATTGTATGACCCGCTCGGATGGGTCACTCCTGTCACAATTACAGCAAAAATCTTCATGCAACGATTATGGAAAGAAGGGCTCGACTGGGATTCCCTGCTCCCTCCTTCCCTACTCCCGCAATGGCGACGTTTCTACACCAAATTATCGTCGCTGCGCGAGCTCCGCATTCCCCGATGGACCGGATTCGGTTCCGACGTACGTCGCGCCGAGTTACACGGGTTTTCCGACGCTTCCAACGTCGCATACTCAGCTGCAGTTTATTTGAAAGTTGTTACAACGACAGGTCATGTCACAGTCAGCCTTCTGATAGGTAAATCTAAGGTGGCTTCGTTAACTCCAACAAGTGTTCCTCGCCTCGAATTACAAGGAGCCGTTCTCCTCGCCCAGGCGATGGAATTCGTTCGGGCCACACTGTCGTTAGCCCATATTCCGTGCTTTTGTTGGACTGATTCCATGGTGGTATTAGCCTGGCTACGCCAACACCCATCTCGATGGAAAACGTTCGTCGCGAATCGAGTCGCTGATATACAAAGCCGCTTAAAAAACGTAGAGTGGCGTCATATCGCCACTTCCGATAATCCCGCTGATTGTGCTTCTCGTGGACTCCTCGGCGACGAGTTGATCGCGCATTCATTGTGGTGGCGGGGACCTATATGGTTGTCTCAGCCATCCGAGGAATGGCCCTCGCGACTATTTACCACGCCCGTCAATGCGTCATTGGAAGAGAAGGTTGTGTCGATTCAATGCAGTCGGTCATCGACAACTTCCGACCTCGTTGCTCGTTTCTCGTCTTGGTCTAAGTTACTCAGAGTCACAGCGTATGTATTGCGGTTCATCTCGCGATGTCGTCGGTTGGCGAATCACAATGACACCCCACCATCCTATCGACTCGCGCTCTCTCCTGTTGAGTGTCATGCGGCTCGCGTATTTTGGATCAAAACGATTCAGAATGACGTTTTTCCGGCCGAAGTCAAAGCGCTTTTAAAGGGACTACCCGTCGCAACCACCAGTTCAAGCTACTCGCTGTGTCCATTCTTAGATTCCGATGGCGTCGTTCGGGTGAGAGGACGTCTGAGAAATGCTCCAATCCCGATATCACGCCGACATCCCATCCTTTTAGCGCGGCACCCACTTGTCGATTTGATTATCGATCAGGCACATCAGCGTACGTTACATGCTGGACTACAGCTAACACTCGGTACTCTACGACACGATTTTTGGATCCTTCGCGCTCGAAGTCTAATCCAAGCAGTCATATACCGCTGCATCGTCTGCACACGGGAGCGAGCCGCTACGCCTTCCCAATTGATTGGAGATCTTCCCGCAGTTCGTGTCTCTGCCCCGGAACGTGTATTTCTCCACTGCGGATTGGACTACGCTGGCCCGTTACTTGTGCGAACTTCCTCCGGTCGCGGAATCAAGGCACACAAAGCTTACATAGCATTATTCGTGTGTTTAGCCACCCGCGCTATTCACCTCGAGCTAGTCTCTGACTACTCCACCGCATCATTTTTAAATGCATTTTCGCGATTCTGCGCTCGGCGAGGACTTCCGCGCTCAATCTATTCTGACAACGGCACGACCTTTGTAGGCGCGGACCGCGAGCTCAGGAACGCATATCGCGCCGCTTTACGCGATCCAAATCTACTCAATAAAACTGCGGGCGATAATGTGTCTTGGCACTTTGTTCCTCCATCTGCGCCTTACTTCGGCGGTATCTGGGAGGCCGGAGTGCGGAGTGTCAAACACCACCTGCGACGAGTACTCAAATCTTATACGCTTACCTTTGAAGAACTGACAATCTTGTTATGTCGCGTGGAAGCGTGCCTGAACTCGCGCCCCATCGCCCCGCTATCCGACGAATGCGATAACTTCGATTTCCTAACTCCGGGTCATTTTTTAATCGGATCTGCGCTTACGACCAATCCCGAACCATCCACGCTCGAGCTGAACGAAAACCGTCTTTCTCGATGGCAGTTAGTTCGGCATATTACCGAAGTATTTTGGAAAAGATGGTATAATGAGTATATTAATACGTTGCAACAACGCTGTAAATGGCGTGCTAAACAGCCAAACATCCAAGTTGGACGAATGGTGCTTCTGCGTAATCCTAACTTGCCCCCTTGCAAATGGGAGCTCGATCGGATAACTCAATGCCATCCAGGATCGGATTCACTAGCTCGGGTGGTTACGGTGCGAACCGCTACTTCCGAATATCGAAGACCTCTCATAAAATTATGTCTACTCCCCATCGAGTGCGCCAATGACACCGCGATATAAATAAATATACTCGTCTTATGCGCTCATAAAGCGGTAAAGCGTCTTCGCAGGAGAACAGCGCATTCCTATAAAAGGAAATCAAATTAGCATTGCCTTTAGTTAATTATTGTGTTTTTTTTTTCTTCTCTATTTCTCAATTTTATAGATAATTTTTATTTTTTTTTGTCATCGCGCGTTATATATAATTTTGTTCACTTCGAAGTTTTTGTCTATGTACACCATGGCTCGATACAAGCGAGCTTCTGGTCAAATGCGCATCAAGTCAAAGCTCCTCTGCATTGTTAAGATAAGTTGAAACGTCCTTTCAACGGCAGGCGGTATGTTTCGAGTGCGTGAACTCGGTGTATAAAAACAAACTCTCGAGATAATCTAAATTTCACGCTTCTGGAAGTTTCTCGAGAGGATGCCGTGATTTGCAAGAAGTGCTTCCAAATAATGCTAATATCGACGCTTCGATGTCACATTACGAGTTGTTGTTGTTCCATTTCTTATGAACAGCTAACAATGTAACCTAGTTGGCCGAGCCTAGCTCGTGTACATTCGTCAAAACAATAGCATCCAATGCTGATTGGAATACTGATTAAAAACTCGAGCACAAGACATTGTTTTCTTTTCATGTGACATCGAAGGACGGTCGTATTCGTTACTCTTCAAGTCTGAACGTGAATTCAGATTAAACCAATCCCGCTCGAGCACGGTTGGTTTTTCGCGAACTATAAATATTAAGGCTAAGGCGATCCGAGGAGACAACGTCGTCATTCTTGACACACAAGTCCGGTACACCGCAGCGCTAAGTTAGGAGTCTCCCACTCTCTATCCGGATTCTCCGCAAGAGACTCACCTTTTTTGTTGATTATTAACAAGCTGTTTTTTAAGAAAACAAATCTAGTGATTCGAACCTCCTGTACCGTATCCAAACGCATTTTATTGCAACTTTCTGTCGCGTGGGAATCAGCGACATTTTATTGCACGTGTCGAACGTTCACCACTTTGCAACCGATCAACGAAGAGCTTCTGTTTCAACGCAGCGAAGAAGCCATTATCATCATTTAATTCGAGGCAAGAAGGTAACGTCTGATACATATATAGAAAATATATTTATAATCCACATTCCAAATTAGCTTTTGTTGATATATATGTATATATATATATATATATATCTCTCAACAGGTTGTTTGTAATGAACAGCTGCAATTTTTATATTGCTATACGGGCCAAGTAGGTTCTGTACACGATATGCGTGTTTTTCGTTTGTGTATAATTTTGAAAAAATGTGTATGGATAATATATATATATATATATATATATATATATAACTCCTATATGTATATTAAATATACAATTTATATTTTACCGAAAATGTGTTTTAAGTTCATCATTTGTGAAAGAATGAACCACGTCCATATAATTTTTGAAACGCGGAATTGAACGCTGAGGTGTCTCATGATTTTTATTCAATAATATTAATATAGATTCATCTTCTTCGTCTGTGAAATCCGACTCGGATGAATCAAGCAGTTCAATCGCTTTTATTGAACATATTGATATTATTGACATTTTAGGTTATGTATCTAATGATCGAGATATGTCAAAATTCACCCCAGTACTGACAATACTGCAATTGTCGTTCCGTTATAGGGAAGGAAAAGCGATATAAGCTATTACGGAACACATCGCCAACACTGCTTTATGACGTCACGTTCACAGCACTGGCAGTGAATATCGGAATGCACCCTGATTATACGATGTCATGCAGTAGAGCGGCAAGACAGTTCCAAAATTACTGCTATTGATTTTATTGCGTATTTCGCAGTAATAACGAAACGGAGGATTTACGTTCCGCAGTACACAATCACAGTGTACAGTGAGAACTACAGAAAGAAATATAAAATAAAACCTCGCTTATTATTTCTGTCAAAATTATGTCGAAAACGTTATACCTTTATATACAGATAAAGAATTTTAGATGCACTTTCGATAAGTAAATAAGAAGTAATATGGGAAAAACTTAATATTTGTAGTTCGATTATATATATATATATATATATATATAATATATAAATAAGTGTAATGAAAATATATGTTTGATAGAAAGAAAGAGAAAAAGATGTTATACTACCAATATAATAATACTACCAATATTTTACAACTTACATTTATATCATTGAATTAACATATTCATAAAAGAAATATATGTATATAATATTAATTGTTTTAGAACGCAACGGAATACTTTTGAATTTTTATTGAATTTATTAAGACCAAAACTGTGTAAACAGAGTGAGAGATTTGGTAGAGAACCCATTTCTCCTGAGAAACAATTACTTACTGCAATATGGATATTGGCTACACCAAATTTTATAGGTAATACATTAATTATTTGAATTATAACCAG